TGTCCAACCGGACCAAGGCTGCAAATAGACACCCTGTAGAGGCTCCGGTCAAAACCAGAAAGTCGTCTGTAAAGTGTTTTCGGCTCCTGTAGCGACGAACTGCGCAGCTCCATGAAACTAGCGGCGGGCCAAAGACTTCAGACGTTACAAGTAAAGGTTACAAGCCACTTCCCTAACATTAGATATCCAATGAGAACACCGATCTAAGCCGTTGCTTTGTCACATAATTTAGAGCATTCAACGACACGTCAGCTCCCTTACCTTGATATCCCGAATGGTACTTGAAGAATACCAATCCCGGCGCTGACAACACAGATACTGCATTCCAAAGCTTGCTATATGGCCCATCAGACGATTCAAATTATGCCTAATCTCAAAGGTCAGTGTATAGCAGCCGTTATGACCGATATTTTGCTGATTGTACGTAGAACCTTTGATGGAAGATCTGGACATCCTTCTTGACCTGGTTGCAAGTATTTCAGATTATGACGAGCCTCAAGTCCGGGAAATTCTTGAAGGCCTTGACTTACTTGATTACAGGAAGCGGCCTATTTCTGAAGCGACAGATTCGGTAGCTTGTGCACTTTGGAGCAGGCCTGATTGCCAAAGACGCAGACGACTGGAGCTCAAGGGCTTATCTTCCATAAAAATTGCAAAAGTTCTCGGCCGGCAGCATTACTGCAAGTCAAGTCGCGTACTATACCGGTGCTCGTGTTGTATAAATACATACTCTACATGGGGTGCCGCTGCTGATCACTGGCAGATGAGACACAATGGTCCAGTAATCATATTTTGCATGTCGTGCGGCCATCAATTGTCAGCTGACAATGCAAAGAAGCATCAAGCTGTTTGTGGGTGGAAAACTATCGACGTAATGGCAAGTGAAACTACTCGCGTTTGGCTCTACTTCCTTCAACACCTGTTGAGCTTGAAGCGCCAGGAAGTTTCTAATTTGATAAGGGCGTATCATCGACGAGATCCGCCTCGCCATTATGACACAAGAAGTATCCCATCCGCGCATCCACCTCCGGTCTGCTGCGTTCTAACCATTACAAAGGTCTCAAGATGTATTTGTTCCAGCACCTGAGGCAATCTCATAAACTTCTAGAGGCTTCTGAATGCTCACCATGGCAGCAATCGCCCGAGGAGTGGCATGATTTAGGCGTAAATGGAGGCTCAACTACAAAAGAAGACTTCCTTGTAATTATGAACTCCATAAGAACAGGCGAGTCGCTGAAAGGTCGGAAGCTTCTCGTCTGGGATCCTGACCTATTTGACGATGCCCATCGCGACTTTTACCGGTTACAGGTTAACACAAGAGAATCCAAATGGGTACGACTAGAAGCCGAACAGGGCTCTATGTCATTGAATCGCGTCTTTTATGATCAAACTACATCGACGTGTGCTAAGACATCCAGTGGCCACTGTGCCCCGACGCCTCATTTTGCCTCGACCACCTCAATATACGCTGAGTTGGAAGAAATCCCCACAATGAGTGATAATGACAGCCGCAAAATACATGAATCAGATAGTGACGGCTCCAGCGAAGTTAGTTCGATAGCGGGCAGTGACACTGAGCTTCCCTATGGCGCCGGCTATGCGTGGCGCAGTGCTCGGCAAGCTCGACTCAAGACCAAGCCTAGTCGCTATAGATTAGGCCTCTAGTTATTATTAGAAATCTTACATTTCAAGACTTACAGTTCCATTAGCACATTGAATTTCTGTTGCAGAGGAAAGAGTTGCCTTGTGCACAGCAATAAACCTAGTAAAGCTAGTTGGAGTCACGAAAGTAAAGTCTATATACTTCAATGTACATATAAACACGTAGTTTGATCGGCACACTTTTTCCAGATGCCCTAGATGCCCTCTATGATGACGATACTAGTCTGTAGGTATATATATTGGTCCATTTCCACATACACGTCAGGTACATATGTGAGCGATATAGGTAAACTTTCCAACGCGTCAACCTGTAGTTTAGGAGCAGTCTTTGGCTTTGTCCTAGAAACCACAACTGGGTCCTCTCATAATCATACACCCCTTGCACGTCACCTTATTCTTTTGCTTGTCGTTAATGGCGGCGTTTGGGGTCAGATCAAAATACAGGCGAACCTCAATAGTCAACGGCTGTGTCAGTCTCGTTTAACGTAAGACAAAAAAGTCTTTAATGGCTATTTCAAGCCTTTAGGGCTATGCTCAATATTCTCCGGCATCTGGAACACCTGCTTTGAGAGATTTTGCTTATGCTTAGAGACTTTGTACCTAAAATGAAGGAAGTCTCTATGTTGACCTTTGTGACCACAGACCCAGATATATTCGGAGGTTAAAATACGCGATCCATTCGCCCGTCAGTCACCATGATCTTGGATGTCCAGGAATAGGATTACAATCCAGCTTAGTAGCCCGTCCTTGGCCAGCACCACACAAACGAAAAAAGGACGAAGGTGAGAGTATATATGACCACATGAACATAATATATGAAGCCATGGATCTAATAAAAAGCTATATGAGAAAGTTGGTATCCCACAGATCAATTCACTATGCACGACTACAAAGAGACAATATTCAAGCTGGTTGGCAGGTTCAACATTCAAGGCGGAGTTATCAAGCAGGCGTTGGCAACAGATATCTTGTGTAAAAACGGCCTTCGGCCATTTGACCACAAAAATCATGACATAAAAGATATTGGTATCCTTATTATATCTGAGGCAGAATATAATAAGCCTAGCGAATTTCTTGGACCTGTTCGCGATTCAGGCGGTCGGCTAGTTAAGAAGAAATGGATTGAGGATCTTCACTTCAAGCGTACATGGTTGGACCCATGTGGCGATTACCTGTGGGAGGAATTAGGTTGTGTGGACGACAAGGATGTCAGTGGTGATGACAAGTACAAGTGGCAGGATGATGACTACGAGCAGGGCGATGACGATGATGATGAGTCTGACGATGATGACTATGAGCCGGAAGATGACGATACTGATGAATCTGAAGCTGATGACTATGAGCATGGCGATGATGATGATGCATCTGACATTGATGAATCTGGCGTCGATGAGCCTGAGACTTATGATTACGAAGTTGATGAAGAGCTTGAGGAGTCTTATTGGAAGAGGGCTTATAATGAAGACTCTGAGGATGAGTCATATTGGAAGAAAGCTTGAAAAAGTGGTGGGTAAGGGATTTGTGATAGGAAGCGGCATAATCGTAACTGACAGTCAGCTTCGGAATCTAGCCCTAGTTCGGATGGTAGCTCCACCGACTTAAGCACCGATAGTTCAGTAGATACCGACCACAGTATCACCTTGCAAGACGTTTATGGTGATTGAATACTAAGTTCAAAAAAGTCACTTAAGACAAAAGCAACTTTGAAAGAAGTATTGACCGGGAAAATGGCAGATAAAATGTCAAACAAGTATATTCGAAGTCAAAGTGGGCAGGACAGCGGCGCCTGGCTTATTATGAAAATAGCATGTACCGACAACGATTTGAAGGAATAGCAGGACACGAAATCAATCTTAATCTACGCTAAACAGGCCGCGAATTATTCAACGCGAATGAGCCGTTTTCGTATAATAATTTCTGGACCAATAGCCAACAGCCGCGATCAAGGAATATCTGTAAGCACAAAAAGAACGTTGTTTCCGCCCCTTTCCCCATCCTCGGGAGAGCTATAAACGATGCCCTCTTGAAGTGATTCCCCCGGACCGGCACACAGTGTCTGCAGCCAGCTTCCGAAAGACAGAGAATAATCTTCACGGTCCATGTACCTTTTGAACCCGTTACGAATATTGTCGAGATTCTATTTCTGAAGATATTTATCTTTTTTCATTGACACTTAGATTTGGTATAGTAGGTTCTGGTTGGGCACCTTGTCCTTCCCCTTTTTAATACGTAGGCAGCTAAACTCCATTTATATGCGCTGACAAAATGTCGGTAGTTCTGAGAAATTAATCTTTAAACATCTACATATCTCGAACAATAATGAGCAGTCTCAGAAAAAGACAAGTTTAAGACTCACGGATTAATTTAGGCGTCAAATTATACCCGCAAATAAGGGGCAGCTTTGGAGTTACTTTATCAAGTTTGGGCAGTCGAGAGAATAAGCACTATATCCATTTTAGTAGAAAGAGCACCTTTTAAGAAAACTAGAATTATTTATAATCACAGCTTCATTTACTTCTAATAATAATACCTCAATTTGCTAGCAAATAAAGGTCCCTAAAAAAAAACCTTTTCCTAAATAAAAGGATGAGTTCAATTGTATTAAACAAAATAGTGAGCTTAATACAATCATTACGTTCAAATATTAGATAGCAGGAGACAATATATAATGGCGAACCCTAAACTAGCAGCATTCTGAGAAGACCATATAAAACTATTAGCAGCATATTGATTACTAAATCAAAATATGGATTCACGCCGACTATCGAACAAAAGATTTCATTTAATTGGCAAATTTGAGAGCAAAAAAGAGATAAACAATATAATCAAAGGTTTAGGTGGTTTAGTCTGGCGACGAAACTGCAGTCAACTACCGACTGACTTGATCTTGGCACCTACCCAGACAAAGTTTCAAGAAGACAAGATTCGTAGCGAAGCTCAAGAGTTTAAAGAAAAAGGTGTAGAGTTTCAGCATGATTTGAAATGGTTATTGGATCTCCGGGATAAAGATACCGGTAGGAAACCCAACGAGTCCCTAAGTTCCACGAGGACAACGGAAAGCAGCATCACAATACCATCGCGGCAAATTGTTTCTACTACTCCGCCTCCTATAGATATAACGATTGAGAGATCAGGAGAAGGACAGGAGAATATGCTTTCTACCAGGAAACATGTTGCTGTGAGGGAAACTGTCCCTAGTACGATCCCGTCCAACGCCCAACACAAAGTTATGAAGGCCATCGTCGAGCCAATATTCACGCGCCAGCATGCTCCCACTGGAGCCCAGAATCTTGACATAGAGCGCTCCAGGGTTCTTTGTAAGAAACAAGTTCTACGTCCCCCTCTCAAGAGGGCTGGCGACGTCTCTATTCCCTGTATACCTGATGTGAGTTTATACCATACGTTCTTAGGACATGGGCGACAATGTGACTAATATAACACAATAGGCAGATCACGACGACGACGAGGAAATTACAAGGTTGTTATTAATGCCAAATTAACGAATAAATGTCTGTCTACGTCAGCCTTGTCTGTTGTTTTTGGACTTTCTCTAATTACTTTATAGACAAGATCCGAGGTTTGCTAGGTGAAGGAGGCTATGGCACAGTTGTCAGAGCCTGCAAAGTTGTTAGAGACTGTGAGGTTCCCGAATCTAAAGATGTAGCCATCAAGATCAGCGCGGTAGGGAAGGGACGCAGCAATGCCGCGAGGAAGGAGTTTCGGATACTCGAAACCATTAAAATGAATGATGAGAAGAACCAGAAGGGGTGCATCCGTGTACAAGAGTGTTTCGAATACCGAGGCCACATTTGTATGGTTATGGACTTACTTGGTCAGAGCACCTGTGAGTTCCTTGAACAGAACAACTATCTTCCATATCCAAAAGGCCATATCCAGAGTTTTGCCCGGCAGCTTTTTAACAGTGTAGCCTGTAAGTGTAAAAGTATGGACCTAATTCCAAAGCATTCTGACGAGGTTTAGTCTTGCACGACCTAGGCATAGTCCATGCTGATATTAAGCCCGAGAATCTCGTACTATGCGACCACACTTACTGCACCTTACCTTATCACCGCGTGAGGCCTTCTTCCTCTTTTGTAAGATCTCAAAAGGCGCGATATGCTGCAGAGCGCCGCGTCTTAAATAACACCGAGGTTCGGTTGATCGATTTCGGTATAGCCACATTTATGGATGAACCTCCATCACATTTTGACTCAACTGCACCGTATTGTGCCCCAGAGGCCTGGATATATCACAAAGCGTCATTCTCCCAGGATATATGGAGCATAGGATGCACCCTCGTCGAGTTTTTCACCGGTGATATTCTCTTCGACGCCGATGATATGACTGAATACATAGCAATGACAGAAGCTGTTACAGGACTCAAATTTGAGGAAGAAATCTCTTGGATCACCGACGAAAGGTTTCGGCACATTCTTTCCGCTTTGCTTCCCAACGCAATGCAAAAACCACGCCAAAGGGTCCAGCGGATGAGCATGAAGCATGTTCACGTAAGCGACTATTTTCCCAACCTACTATAACCTTAATTAATACCAAATAGCAAATCATCGCGCCTGGAGACGATCCCTTCCTTAAAGACTTTGCGGATCTGTTGAAAAGGATTTTTGTCCTAAATCCTGATCATCGTATCACTGCAAAGCAGGCTTTACAGCACCCTTGCCTCACAGAAATAGCCCAGCCAGATGATGACACTTTGGCTGCAGAACCCAATAGCGCATCAAACCTCGCAACGCCATGATTTCTCAAGTTAGAGACGGCAGGTCCATGATCTCCTGATTGTATTTCAATGGTTCGGCACCTTCCTATTCCCAAAGCATTCTGATCAAGACATATGGCTAGCCAGCGTGGTGGTTCCATGGTACAATACTTTGATTTAGAAGAGATACTATTATAAGATGGGTATTAGTGATGGAGTTTGAGTAACATAAACTCTTACGCTTTGGCAGGACGAATGCTTACAGTGCCCCATCTTCACCCTCCTTTCTTCAGTCCAAAGCATGCTAAACATTATTCTCCGAAGCGTCTGCTTAAGAGCGACCTACAGATGGTCTTCGCTTAGACTCTTCATGGTGCGTTGTTATTGCAGAAAAAATGCAAGCTGGCTCTTGAAAGTGATGGCAATCGGTGGTTCCGTATCCCATACGGAATGGCTACAGCGAAAGGCTTCAATAGGCAAACCCAGCCACTGATACATTTATAGTGATTCAATGACTTCTATAACTACGAAGCTAATTATATCTAACCAAGATCCAACTCAACTACGAAAGCAGATGAGGCTTCAATATTAAGATTTAAGATAGCTTTGGCGCCACTAACTAGTAAAACCATTTCTAATCTCAAGCAGTCTACCAAGGCTAGTTGCGCAATCAACATAGTAGTGAAGGATAACAACCAGAAGAGGGAGGATACTGGGCAAGATGCTAGGCAAGGGGCGCTGATGAAAAAGAGCCAACGATGATGAAATATTGGGGCGTTGTTCCTCTTTGCCAAAACCCACCATGAAGTGGTCTCCGGAGCCATAGAAATCTGCTATAACATAGCAGACTACAAGAACTTGCCAAAAATGAAACAAGCTGTATGATTAGAACTCCCCATTAGGGTTTACTGGGGACAGATAATAACAGGTCAATATGTTGCAAGGATTACATCAGTATTACAGAGAAAATAGCAGGTAAATTTCATTGTTGTCCGTATTTGGGGTACAAAACTTGTGAGGTGATTGATTACGAGGTGATAAATTATGAGGTGCTAGATTGTGGGGCGATAAATTCTAGGCTAGCTGGGGAGCAGGGAACTGTCATCGAGGTTCGGTATCTTGGCTTGCACGGGGTCTCACCGGCCTTGGATCTCATATGCTCGTTCTCAATATAGTATCTTGACTTGATTTCTCTGGTTTCAGCTTTGCCATTTATCCTGTGCGGTCAAGATGTCCAATATTGATGCCGGCCGTCTGTCCAGTAGTTCTCAAAGTTGGCAGGGTTGGCCTCGCCCCTTACGATTCTAACCTGACCCCTCCTCATCCTCTAAATCAATCCTTCGGACAACCTTCCCCGGCAGCAGGTCCACATACTTGAGACTTAGCGTACATATCACTGTCGGCAGCGTTCTCTATGGTAACTCCTTTGAGCAATACAGCATCTCCTACCGGGCCGTATTTGGCCTTTACAGCCTCTCCAAGCTGACCACATGGTAAGCGCTATTGGTGTCAAGTTTTGAGAGGAATTCTTACAATTTGACGGTCCCGGGGCGTCTTATCTGGAATACCATCAATGTCTTTCTTCTTGAGAGATCCGTTTAAAAGGCTTTTAGAAAAGTCCTCCTAGGATACAAAGTATGGGGGTATTAAATCTTTGCACCTGTCCATGTCAACCTTTGCCATTCATGGTCACGGCCAAAGAACGCGGGAATGTGAGCTCTTTATGTGGCGTTGCACAAGGCTCGAGCCGCGGCCAAATTGTCTGAGTCAATGCTATCATTGTAGTAAATGACGAGATCCATGATAGCTCGGTTAGCGGATAGGAATACTCATTCTGGACAGACGATAGTGCTGGAGGTGATGAGGAGGTTGAGAGAAGTAAAAGGATGGTCAGATTGAGAACCGTATACTATGTAGACTCGGGGCGAACATGCCTTGAGAACTGGGGAGCTATGAGTAAGTGTTACCCTATCACTAGCAGTGACACACTGTGATAATACTGTGAGCGAGGCAAAGTAAACTACCTGGGGCTTTGTTGCACTGCTTTTTTTTGAGATGGGAGAGGTGTCTAACAAAGGAGTGGCCTGGTGAGTAGAACCACCCTCAGCACCTCCCTCTAGGGCCTAGTCAGTTTTAATAATTGCCAACAGCCCATACGAGATATCTCCAGTAGAAATATGATGTTTGAGTTGATGGTTGATTTTAAATCTAAAAAAAAAAAGAAGAAAACATGTACGTCCATGCGTATGATTCGCAGTTCAATGAAGATATTTTGTGCACTGCAACTAACCGAAGACTATATCAATTTATCACCAATGAAACGTCTGAAACGGGCTCTCCATGGGCTGCAGCGTTCAGCCGACGATGCAACAAAGTTGCCGCCGTATGTAACGCCCCGCATCTTTCGGCAACCAATAAACTAGCAATACCAGTTGAGCTAGATTTAAGAAATGACATGAAAGCAATAAATGGTTCACAACGCTCTTTTGGGGGGGGATTTCTAACGTTCTATTCGTCGTCGCGTAACTTCAAGTCAAGACAATAGGCAGCACAATCACAATATAACCTCTGCTGTTCGGGGCCACAACGTAGCACTGTAAAAGGGGTCCAATGGTACTGAGCCAAAACTCCTCCATGTATGAAAATCTTCAGTCAGATCTGTCGGAAGGACCAGCTGAGATAAACACTCTTTGCCGTGGCCACACATATGATGAGTGGCCTTTATTGTTTCTCCTTGAGTACAAACATGCCCCCGAACCAGCCATAAGCCCGTGTCAATCTTCGTCCGTGCCGTCGAGCGACTTCGAAAGGAATCTTGCCTTTTGGGTGGGGCTCATGGAAGTGAATCTCTCGCTCAATGCCTAAAATAGTAGGCGAAAACTGCCAGACAGAGCCATAGAGCTTCTCGATCTGGAAACCTGTAGAGGCCATTGCATAGAGGAAGTCGCCCCATGGAATGGAGCTAGGCGTCGATGTTACCTCAGGGTCGAAGAGCAAAGTGCGAAACACCCTCAATGCTCGAGCATCGACGGAGAATATTGGCTGAGCGTCGAAAACCTCGAGTTTTGTGGCATCAAATGGTTCCACGTTATCGTTGTTGTTGGACGTTCTAGAAGGGCCACCCTTGGTCTTGGTCTTGGTCTTGACCTTGGACTGAAAGGGCATTGAATCTCTGAGGTATTTGTGCAGGTTGGTCCAGGAACAGACTTGAAAGTGGACGGTTGAGGGCCCAAAGATCTTGGTCCAGGGCAGGCTCAGTTTTTTCTTTTGCTTTTGTAGGTTCAACCCATTCTACGGTCCTTCGCAAGATGCGCGGTTGAGAAAGAAGGCGAAAAAGAGCTGTATCTTCAAAATTTGTGACTCTAGCTTTTGTTACGTCGTCAACCTTGGTCCAGAACATATCCAAATTCGACTCGTCCTGTCGCAAAGCGTCTACCGTCTCTTTTGTCCGACGTTTGCTATATGGGTAAGTAAATTTTCCACCTGAAGGCTCCGCGAGTCTAGCGGCGTTATCCAGGCCCTTCTGTAAAAATGCAGCGTGAGGCTGTGCCACGGGTTTCTGTAACGCGGTGTACTGCGCTTCAAAACCTTCCACGTGATCAGCCGAAGCCATCTCGAACTGTTGAGCCTATGGCTGATAGAGCTCGAGTTGCTTGAGACTCTGTGTGACAATGGCTAGGTCACCGATTATCTTGGCTACGTGGGCCGATATGCGGGCGTCCGCCTTAGGCTCCGCCTGTAGCAGTCGCTCCAACTCATCGACGACGTTGGGCACGCGAACGAGAAAGAGGGTATAATCATCTTCCCACAGTGTTCGTAACAACCAAATCAATTGTTGTTCTACTTTTTCCATTTTGAATCCCGGGCGACTCCTTACGAATATCTTTGTCGAGTCAGAATCAACAGGCGGCTCACGGACGAAGAATTTCCGCATTGGTGGAGATGCTGGAACAGCTACTTTAAGCTTGTTCAAGGGCCCCTTTGCCGTTTGCTCCAAGAAGTACTTGAAGCGGAGTAGTGAAACAAAGTACTCCTTCGGTAAGTCCTTGTTGGGTAGTATTTCCTTGTGAAGCTTCTGCTGTAGCATGCTCAGGTTTTTGACTTGCCGATGAAGCTCAGTGAGGGACTCCAGATTCGCATAAGCATCTGAAAGCATACCAAAGGTTACCCGGGCCCAGAGACTATTCTCCCGCAGCCTGTGGGTTGCAGGATGTGGAAGTCCCCTGTTATCAGGCAACATTTCTTGTCGGTGATCTTTGATCTCGCAGAAATGGTCAGCAAAATAGGCAGGATCCTCACGAAGTGCCCACACGTGATCTTCTGCTGCTGGAATCTGGGCTTGGAGAAGAGACGTGAGTCGTTCAAGATCAAGTCTTGCCGGTAGCCTGTAAGGCGCTTCCGCAGCCATTGCTGCCAATGATACGAAGCTGGAAGCGTCGCTGTCCGTCTTCAGAAATGGCTCAGGCTGGATGCTATACGCGCTATTGGCGATGTCTTCGGCGGAGATGTCGCGGAGGACTTCATGACGAAGTTTAATGAGGAAGGGCATCAACCGAGCCTGTGCCTCGAGAATAAGGAGGCCCTCCCCAGGGAGAAATTGTTTGCGTGTGTGCATCCAGTCAAAGGCATCTGGGTGCGAATCCCAATCAAGAAGCTTTCCATATTCCTCAGGCGTGGTGGCACCATGCAATACCATCGTGTGAAGGTTAAGGAAGATAGGAACTAGTGACTTTGTCACTTTGCCTAGATGCATTGCGTCGTTATCAGCCGCCGCAAAGGCCGGAGGCGGATGACGGCCTCTAGCATTCAGCAGCAAGAGCATAAGCTTAGGACGTGATAAGTCCTCCTGGTTGACGTAGGGCCACATGTAGTGGTCCTTATATTTTGAGCCTCTCTCTCGTACTTGCTTTGATTCTCTGCGAAAGGCCTAGAAATCAGGACGATGAGAGGCAGGCATTGCCGGCCAAGCTTTGAGGAGAATTTGAAGTCTCTGCCGCCGACTCTTCTTGGTCCACCTTTTCTGAATCGTGGACTCATGCCTCTCCAGAATTTGCTTTAGGAGATGGTGACTTGCATAGATCTTGTTCGAGTATTCTCCAGCATGTCGTCGAACCTTGGCCGGAGAAGGAAGGTCGGGCATTGGACCTCTCATGGCGGTAAGGAATTTAACGGGATTGGACCAGCCAACATCAGGCAGAGAACCATCTTGACTGTCTAAAACTTGGCCCTCCTCTGGGAGGGGTCAAACTGGAAGTCTCGACTGAGGCTCATGGTTTGTTTTGATAATGAGACGCTCCCAAGGCA